ATGGTCCGTCTACGAGGTGGCTGCATTGGGGAAGCGTCCACTGAGTCCTGCCATGGTCCGTCTACGAGGTGGCTGCATTAGGAAAGCGTCCAGCGAGTCCTGCCATGGTCCGTCTACGAGGTGGCTGCATTGGGGAAGCGTCCACCGAGTCCTGCCATGGTCCGTCTACGAGGTGGATGCATTGGGGAAGCGTCCAAGGCATATGGTGTTTCACTGAGATGAAAAACCCTTAAAGGTAACCCGCGTTATTTGGGAGAGAAATAAACTTATATTATTTATTTGCAGTCTTTGCCATAAGCTTTTAACCTTACTGACCACTCGTACTTCAACTTTCCTAAAATCTGTTGGTCTGAACAAGGATTCACTGGTCCGTATACAAATTTCAATACAGCTTGACTGGATTGCATTTTAATGTTATTATTAACAAGACCTTGACATTTTTAGAATAATGACGTAACAGTTACATTAAAAATTAAATCAAATCAAAAGATCTAATGGTCCAAACAATAATTAGTATGTCACAGTCATTGATTACACAGAAAATAATAGAATTAGTGATGTAACAAAGGGTTGGTAACTTAATAAACTGTCTTAATAATAATAATTGGGAAATGTTACCGTTGTAGAGAACAAAAAAAGATGAGACCCTGGAAAATCGCAAAGTGAAAACAAATCGGCTGGACAGCAAGAAGTGCAGTGACCTGATAGTGCTGGGTTTGCTTTGGAAAAGCAAAGAAGCTGACTTGAAGGCTTACTTTTCACAGTTTGGTGAAGTCAACATGGCACAGGTACGAACTGCTACTCATTAAGATCATTGATGTGGGTTTCATGTAAATTTTTTTTAAAGTTTGTTTTTAATTTTAGACGAAAAGGATTAAAATGGAGCAATCCATAGTTATTACTGGTATCAAATGATAGCAATTTCGTTCTTCTAATAAAAACTAATTACCATTTTACGCCGCATGTTGATTTCGATAAACAATTAATGAAAATTAAACAAACTATACATCAATTCACTTTTGTTCATGCCTTAAAGCGTTGAAGTATATCCAGATTTATAGAAAGCCTAATCATAATTTAACATGCACCATTATGAAACAATCCACTGTCACCGCAAAAAAAATGCTTTCCACCGGCCATTAACCGCACTTTTGGGATAAACCACTTTTTTAAAGTTAGTACTTTGAAGGAGGGAGATAAAACTAATGATATTTTTCCTTTCTGTTTACAGAATTCGATTATGGCAAGCCCTGCTGGAGCTCCCACTTTTCGTAAGAAGATGCCAGCCGTGGTCTGTTTATAAGGTGGTTGCATGAGGGAACATCAGAGGCAAAGGGTGTTTTACTGAAATGGAAATCTTTCAAGCCATAAAAGGTAACTCGTGTTATTGCGGAGAATAATACACTAAAGTAATTTTTCGTATCTTACACTTTTTTTAGATAAAGCCCTTAACCACATTAATTTCATAGTTCACTTTTACAAGGCAGTGTATCTTCCCCTTGACACACTTCTGGAATGAAGAACTTTTTAATATTAGTGGGTTGGGTAAGGGGAACAGGTAAATGGGGAAACTAATGTCTTCTAAATTTGTTTTGAAGTTGAGGCAGATGATGGTCCACTTTTGCAAAGTTGAAATGGAGAAAGCAATATCACCATATGGGATTTCAAGAGTCCTTGCCTAGTTGTGATACCACTGTGATTTAGGACCCTTAAAGGTAAGTTATGGGCCAGGGTAGAGGGTGAACAACGAACTTAATTATCATTCATTCTACAGATATTACAAATCTTATGCCAATGCAAATTCAACAAACTGGGCATTTTGTGCAACACCTTACACAAAATTGTTATAAATTAGACTGTTTAGAAACTGTTGTCTAGTAACTAAATGTAGACATTTGTTTTCTATTTACAATTTACTCACCGAAATTCATATAGCAGACATTTTAGAATCCAAAAGCTCTTTCAATTTGTCACAAACTTGCAAAAAGAAACACTGGTACAAAATATTTTGAAATCCAATTTTCAGATCTTTATCAGTCTCAATGTGACACACGTGACGTTGTCACTGGTCTAGAATACCAGGAGCTACTGCACCCCCCCCCCCCAACCTCACCCTCAGTGCAGCGGTTGTGGTACTAAGAGGTCATCGTACAGGTGAGTTTGTATTTTTATCAGTTTATATTGTTTAGATCGATAGGCGTTTTCGTGATTCACATGCCTTCCTTTATCCCTCTTATTTTCTACTCACTTTCTTTTTGTAGAATCTTAGCACTCATCTAAATCATGATGTGGTTTTCTTGTGTTGTGTTATAGAAATAAAATAAAGTAAAAAATAAAATGAAATAAAATAAAATAATCATGTTAAGAACCAAAGCATTATGAAATATCAAAATACTTATTAGTGTTAACGGTGTGTAAATCCTAGCATTTCATTTGTAGGCTATGAAAGGGCAGTTTTCCAGAAATAATGCCCGAACGCAGATACCATCAATCCTAGCCTAAATATCCAATGGCGCTAGCAACGAGCCTCTGTAGCCACTTTCATTGATAATCGGACGTCCTAGCAGTCTTGATTTTTAAGGACACAGCTTGTCTGCAAAAAAAAAAAAAGAAAAAAAATTAGAGAATGTGGAATGGTA